ACATTCATTATAAAAAAAGAGTAAAAAGTATTGAATTTTATAATAAAACTTTATACAAAAAGGATTATTATCACAAAAAGTTTACTATTTAAAACTTCACAAATACAAAAAATTAATAATTTAATTACAAAAAATATATTTAAATTTATTAAATACAATACCTTTATATACATTAAAAGATTGTTCAATTTATATCTTATAAATGAAATAAAAGGATATACAATAAATTCTTTATACAAAAAATTATATCTAATTATATAAGTATACAATAATTCAAATAAAAAATCAATTCTAACTCAAATATCTATAATATAAAAATCAAATCAAAAAATCATTATAACTTTAACTTCTATATTAACAAAAATAAATATCAAATTAATAATATAAAATATTATACAAGCATATATACAATTAAAAACATTATTGAACCGAATTATATTAATAAAACTCTAGAATTTTTTTTAGAATAAATATTCAAATAATATAATTATAATAATAAAGAAACTATTATATAGTATTATAAAAGTAGAAACTTATTAATAAATAATATATTAAAAATATTATCAAGAAAAACTTTATATAATAATATCTTCATATAATTCTTGTTTATTTATTATCAATATAAAAGATATATAATTCAGAATTATAGGAATATAAATAAACAATATATTTATTTTAATAGATTAAGAATTTATGAATTTCAAGAATTCAGAACTTAAGAGTATAAATATCAAAGCAAAATCAGATGAATATCTAATATATAACTCATCTCTAATCTTTAATAATTGTATTATATAATAGAATAAGAATCGTTTGATTTTTATACAAAAAGATTAAAAAAAGAAACTTATAAAAGTTATTAATCTTGAATAATATTATAAACAAAAAGCTTAAAGTACATATATTACAACAATTTATTAATTAAAAGTATTATATAATCTATCTATTATTATATAATATTAAAAACTATCAAATAATAATATCAAGATGCTTAATAAAAGACTTAAATAACAAATGGAAAACCTTAATTAAAGATTCTTGTTTATTCCTCTCATATAAAATCATATAAAACTATTTATTTTTATTAATAGGTCTTTTACAAATAATAAAGATTTAAATAGTCAAATAGATTTTATTATTATATTAATAAATAAGAATATATCGAACAAAAACACATTCAAATTGACTAGGAATATCGTACATTATAATAATACAAAAAGTAAAAAAGCTACACATAATATACTAGCTTCTAAAATGTATAATATAATAGAAGATATAAACATTAATCTTATAATAAAATTAATCCTATAAATCATTACCTCTCAATTAAATTTACCTAATATTCCAGTTATCATCTATACAGATTCATACTCATTATATAAATATCTCATCAAATTGAATATAATAAAAGAAAAAAGACTTATAATTAATATAATAGTATTATAATAATCATATAAAAAAAAAGAACTTATTAAAGTTCAATAAATTAATGGATTTAATAATATTATTAATATAAAAAAAAACCTTAATAAAGTATTAAAAAGATTCATTAATATAAACACTTTTATTATACATATTGAAGAATAAACAAAACAAAAGATTCATATAAAAATCAATTAGATCTTTATATAAATATCAATTATAATTAAAAATAGAATTAATAATATTTTATTTTTTTAATTTTATTTTATAGTTTTTTTTTCTTTTTTGAAAAGTTTTTAATAAATAATTCAATTTCAAATTAGAAAAATATAAAGAAAATCTAAGGATTATATAATAACAAAAGGAATATACAAACTAATCAATAATAAATAGTTTTTCAATAAAACTAAACCCAAATAAAAAAGGGTATTTACAAGTATTGAGGGTTTTTAAATTGATTGATGAAGAAGGAGTAGAACTTTAATTAGAAAAAGTATAAGGAAGAGGTAAAGATTGACATTATCCATCAGTAATACAAGAACATGAACAATCAGATTATACACACCAAATCCTATAATCTTTTTATTTATAATTCCCATAATTATTATTGAAATATCCCTATATACAATAATAATCTGAAAAGATTATAAAACTATAATAATAATATTCCCTATAAGAACCTTCAATAAGAATCCTATAACTTTATATTAACAAGTCATTTATATATAATATTTATATTGTACAATTTTGTACAGGCATAATTCGATTATATATATATAAAACAGAATTATTTAGTATTATTAAAAGAATAAATTGAAGATTATCATAATAATATAGTATAAGAACTTACCTATTGATAAAAAGAACAGGATTTTGATTTGAATCCGCCGTTACATTTGCTATATTTTATAATTAAAGAATCCTATTCGTACAAAAATATTAATATATTATATATAATATAAAATTAATAATAAATAAGAAGATAACTAATAATACAAACTATTTATATCTTAATAAAAATTAATATACATTTTAAATAAATAATTAAATTCAAATTTTCTACAATTTCAAAAGAATTAGTACAATACTAAATCTAGGTATATTGTCTAATATGATCAAAGAATTTGTATATAATAAAATGATTTAGATTTTAATAGTTTTGATAGTTTTTTAATATAATATTTGATTGATTTAAAAAAAAGTTTATTATATTCGTTTGATTTATTATAAAAAATAGGAATTGAACTAAGTAATAAGGTAGTTATTTGTTATAAGTTTTAAATACTAATTTGATTTGTACGAATTTTATTTATATAAAAAAGAAAGTTAAGTTTGTATCGAAATATATGATCAACAATATGATATTATATGTTATGTTTTATTCTATATATATATAAAGTGTGTAAATGAGGATAGTATATATATATAGATATAGTAATTCCCTTTTTATATAAAAAGGGTAAACAGAAATAAACAACCCTTTTACCTATACATATTATATATACACACCTTACCAAGTCTGCTCAACAGTGTCGAAGAAATATGGTATTCAAAAAAGTTGTTTGGAGGTCACCTGATAATTACAACTTTCTTTCTGAATTTATAAAAACAAACCTTTACTAGTTTGAACTACTCATACCAGTATGTAAATTGTTCTTACAAGGTGAGCTGTATTGGTTTACACTAATCTCAAACTTAGACCAAGAAATTGTACCATTTCTATCAAAATTAACCACTCACAACTGAATCTTTCTAAAGAATTGTACTGTATTGTACTGCAAGACAACAACCTTGAATGAAAATGGAGCTAAGTCAACTACCCCACTTTCCGACCACCCCCTGTTTCCGACCACCTAAAAAATTCATATTATCTACACTTAAAACTTTAATAACTCAATAACTATTGAACTTCAATGAAATCGCCTGTAGAATCACTTTCTATAGCACTAGAGCTATCATCTACCTCATCTTCACGATCTCCAGCTTCAATTTGTGTACGCCTTATAGCTCTAATCCCTGCGAACTTCGAATTTGGAGATACCACAACCTTTCGCCTTTTTCTAGGTAATGCTTCATCTAATTGATATTCTAGCTTTCTAATCTTATTCTCTGCCTCTAAGAGTTCATAATCCTTAGCATCGAATCCTTTTATAATCTTGCGAAATAGTAATCTTCGTGTTGGCAAATCGATCTCCTTCTCTTGAATCATTATATCTCTATATTTTCTGATATCGGCTCCTTTTTGAGGGGTTTTCCATTGAATAAACGATGAATATATATTCCATTGAAGAATAGGATCATCATCAGATTCAGGATTAAGTGATAAAACCTCTCTATTGCTATTTTCAAGCAAAAGTCGACTCATAAGAGGTTTAGCCATATTTTTGGGCCAAAGACCACTAGCTTGCCACCCAGACTTGATATTTTGAATAGTTAAACCTTCTATTCTAGCCTTCTGATAGCAAGAAAGGAAATTGCGCTTTCCAATTGGTGAGGAATCGGATAATAGACTTAATTTATTAAGTTCGATTCGATATGCACTTTTTAGGGGTGAGAACACAGATAAATCGAGTGGTTGTAGTACGTGTGACGTATGTGGTGGGAGAAGTAAGAGATATACGTTGTTATTAAAGCATTCTAACATAAATGCTGTAGTTTCATGGCTTCCGTGTCCGTCCAAAATGAGGAGTCTTGAATTTTCCGGCTGAATAGGGGTAGTTTGAGGGATATAGATCTTTTTCAGCCATTCTAAAGCTGTAGCATCTGTAGTCCATCCATTTTCTGTAGCGGTAAAGTTCCAACCCTTGAATAGAGTCAAATCTGTTGGAAACCATTGTTGTTGAACTGATTTTCCCTTATATATTACAAGGGGAGTAATGCTTTTTCCATTGGCTGAAATGCATTCTATAAAAGAGGTCCAAATTCGAGATCCAGGTTGCTTTTTTTGAATAAATCTTCGATCAGTGCTTCCTACTACTAGTCCATTAAGACCCTGACCCTCCATTATACCTGCTTCATCCATATTCCATCTGTTGGCCGGCTTAATAGCCTTGATTTCAGGGATTGCGAGGTTCCGGAACCACTTCTTAATAATATCAGATGTAGCACCTGAAACTCGTGCAGAATCGATTTGATGTTGCTTCTTAGTTCCAATATTAGGATGCCTTCGAAAAAAGCTATGTATCCATTTCTTTCCAAGTGAGGGATCCTCCCCTCGTACAATAAGGAGGTGCTCTGCCATCTCTCTGATTTGACGATGTGTAGGGCTAGTACCAAGAGCTTCCTGTACTAATATCCATTCTGCTAGTCGATTCTCCTGAATTGGAGATAACTTTTGAAGTATTTGGGCGCCTTTTTGATGCGAAACTCCACCATATATTCGATCGTGAAGTGTGGTACGTGGAACACCATAATCCAAGCTAGCTCTTCGTATGCTTGCTCCATTTGTAATCGCTCTAAGAGCCTCTGCGATATCTTCTTCGGTATATCTATTCTTCATATCACAATTATAATAATATCAAAATTTCAAATCAATTGATTGAAGCATTGTTGAGTTATTCAAAGTATAAATTTTATAATTACTCAAAGCGGTGTGGTTTTTGAGGTGGTCGAAAAGAGGGGGTGGTCGGAAAGTGGGGTAGTTGACTTACACCAGCTAATCTGCGAGCAATTGAACTCCGAACTCCCACATTCATTTCCTTCTGCTTGTCGCCAAATACTGCTGTACCCATTGTCCAATTATCAAATTTCAAGCCGAAACATGCCGCAGCAAGCTTAATTTGCATAAAATTATTTGGTCTATTGACGGAGATGATAAAATGAAGATTTTTGAGATGAAATGTATTAAGAATATTGATAGTCTTGATCATATTCTTAATTCGAAGGCTATAGACCTCTACCGAGCTGTTGAATGACGGAGCGATGAGAAGAAATTCAACATTTCTAATCATTGGTGCGTACTTTGGAAGGATGTGAAGAAAGTCTACCTCCTTAGCAGTACGATTTGGATGAATGATATCAATCTGAATGAACAACTTAGGTGTTCCGCTATCTTTCTTGACTTGTAGTGCCCAGTGTTGGGGAAGGGTCGAGTAGTCGAAGTCTCGCACATACTGCTTGTCTTCAACTTGCTTGGTGTGTAGCTCATAAGCAATGGTCAATTTTTTGTTCTGTTCAAGAAGTCTTTGAGCCTCTTCGCGGGTCTTCTCTGCCGCCAACTTTGCATCCGTGTATTTCTTAGAAGTTGGAATTTTGGTGGCGCGACCGCGATAGTTTTTGTTACCCATTCTGGTGATTTGTGAAAGTTATCGAGTGTTGCGAATGAAGGTCGGGAAATGTATTGGACGATTTTTCAAGTATTATTGAGCTTTGAGAAAATCCGATGTTTCACGTGGAGATTTGTTGAGTTTATTGATGGATTATGATATTTTGAAATAGAATGGCTTCGAATACTAGGTCTTGATATCTTTTACAATACTTTATGGACCGCACCAAACCTTTTCATAGCTTTTAAGTCAAGCGCACGTGGTTAACGCTAAATGAGCTGCAAGTGTATTGTGTTTTTACTGCCCACCAATATTTACATATTCGCTAGTTGCACCGTTATCCGCAGATACGGCCCACATTAGGACGATGACATTGACCATTGCAATATACACCGTGTAATATTTGGAATGCCATGCTTACCGTAACAATGAGTTCAGGGTAATGGTGTTTCGGCAAATCTTTGCACTTAACGTTTGTACGGTTGAATCAATAAGTATTTGTCCTTTTTGTGATAATGTTTTGGATACTAGCAGTGAACTAGAAGCTCAGTATGGTTAATTCGCTACGCTACCGCTAAGTATGAAGTGCTCCTCGATCAGGACGAGCTGAAAGAGTGATACTGCTTGTCACGGAATACATTTCCCACTGCGGTGTCGTTCACGGCCATAGATACTATTGATTCAAAAGCATTGTAGCAAGAAGGAAGATTAGTATACAGCGGCAATCTGGAAGATTGAATTCCTTAAATTTTCAATTCTGGCTCTGAAGTTCGCCACGGGAGTTTGGACAGGCAATTGTTCTCGTCATGAGAAGCCCGCATACTTTCAGAAACTTACTGAGTCCTTGAATTATCTAGTTTGAGTACACCAAAAATTGCTGTGTTTTACTCATTCAACACATTTCTGGCCTAGAATGAACTAGTTGGATCGAGATGTGCCGGAAAGAGATGAAACTTTAGCAACAGAATTTGAGGATGGTGGCGCAGGGCACTGCTTAACAACCACACCAAAATGAAACAGTCTAGGAATAGTAGAATCTAGTCACAAAAAACAAATTAGATACTTCACATCCATAGTCATATACCAATTCCCGAAGTCCTCCTAAGTCGTCTTTTATCCCCCTACTTTCCGCGTGATTTTTAAACAAACCGCAAAACACACAAAGCCGACGGCGTGATATTACAAACTCATGTAACCTATTCAAGTGATAGAATAATCGTTATAGTATGATTGTGCACGTTTCCCTTTTACAACAAAACTTTATTTTACCATCTGATCACGCCACCAAACCCCTTTGATTCTCGCTAACTCTACGAATCAGATCTTAAGCCTAATTTCCATGGGAGAATAAAATGTATTGATCAGATAGCTATATTTATGCTAACTAGTATGTAATGAGAAAAAAAAAAGCATTCATATACTTTGCATGGAAAGTTTGTGATGCCATAGCCAAACCACCCTAGAACACTGGGGTAAGCCATCCATCTCTTCTCAGATTTCGGAAACGTACCAGAATTTCCAATGATCTAACGCAAGGCTTGTAAGAAGGCTGTTCTCCTTTAATTTAGTTCAGTCAATTTTTGCAAATATTTCCTATTGGGATCTGAAATAATTGTCTCCTAATTCTAGTTGCCGAAAATACGACTCATGACTCATGTCCATAATCTGGGAGATACGGATTGTGGTGGTGACGGGACGATTAACAAAGATCAACGAGCAAACTTATTGAGATGCCACATGTTATATATTGACCACCTTTGACGTGACAGATATATTTCATTCTTCATTCGAACGATTTACAACGTTCTCGAGGTAGTCACGAGAAAAATTGCGGGAAAGCAGTAAAATTAGATACTTGTGGTATATGCACACCGAAATTAAGCTAACTATATACATACATTTGAATAATCCTTTCAACTGAGAGAAAGTCAGGACTCCAATTTCCCTTAGATCTGTTCTTTTGGTGCCTCTATTCCAGGCACACCACAAGGATTGCTAGGATCGTAAGCCATACTCATCAAGTTTGCTCGGAGCCGATTAAGTGCTTTCCCATCCTCCACAATAAGAGACTGGCGCAAATCAGTCCTCGATCCTTCTTGATTTTTGGTGCGACCAGCCGCAGATGATCTCCGCCATACCCATACTAGCGAGGAAATGATAAGAACAGCGATCACAACTCCAATGGTAGCCCCGGCTATCACGCCAGTGCTTGCACCATGACTTACGTTGTTACTTGCCGTCGAAGCTGTAGTAGATGAGTTGGTAGTAGTACTGCCAGTAGTGTTGGTAGTGCTAGAGTTGTTGGTGTTTGTGGCCAGTAGAGCTTGATTAAAAAGTGATGCAACATTCGAATTTGTAAAGTCCTCAGAAGGGCGAGTAAGTTGCGCAAAGCCACTGGAACTGTTCATTAATTAGTCATGAATATGGTTTGAAGCATTGAAGAATACTTACTTTCCACCAATAATATCAGTTATGTTCTTCGGGACAATGTATCTGTTGGCGTCATGATAGAACGCTGATGTCCATGATAAAGTGTACATATCGTAAATAGCCACTCCCGAACTTTCCCAATCACAATAAGATGAGTACTTCTTTTGAGCCCCGCCAACTGTTAACATCTGTCTATTTCCGACTAGATGGCAGGTGTGCCCAAAACGTGGACTGCCTCGTACTGACTCGTAGACTTGTATCCACGTGAATGAAGGTAATGAGAGCACGAATACATCGTCATAAGACACAGAACCTCCATCTTGTCCACCATAGAGATATATATTGTAACTCGAATTATCAGGGGCAGTGGCGACAACGGTACAAGAGTCTATTCTTCTTGGGGGTATATTTCCCGAGGCTTGTTGAGTAAACCAAGACCCGTTCCCTCCATTATATGCACTGTTGATATCGAAAATATTAATTTGGTCCATTGGAGCCTATTGAGACTAGTTAGAAACTTTTTATGCTGTCGAGCCCTTGTTGTAACCTACCAGAGTGCCCCCTGTTTCATCTGACAATTCACCAGCTTGACGATACATACCACCAAATTGTATTAGTATGCCTTTGCCATTCTCTCCGATTCCAGGTATGTATTGTAAAAGACCCCCTGTTCTCGAATTTGTGTCGATGGCTGCAGTAGAAATATTCCTTGTCGCATTGTCCGTCATGTTTAACATAACCATGCCCTCCAGAGGCACCGAACTTCCTGCAAGAATCCAGGTCGTTTCTGTGCTCGACCCATTATTAATCTCGCCATTGAAGTAAAACCCAAGACCTTGATCTGGAATGTCAGCACTCGCCCCGAAACTAGGCTTCTCGGGTATCGTAGAATCTATTTGAATCGAGGCCCATTGATTTTGCGATACATCATAAGATAGAAGGGTCTGATTTGGTGACGTAGGGCCGGTGTAGCCATAAAAGCTTGTATTCATGCTTTGCTCAGTTCCACCATATAAATATATGTCATCGCCACCGGAGGTTCCAGAAAAAAGGGCACCATTGAGCACTACAGATGAGAAGGCATTTGATGATTCGGAATCCGACAGAAATACTTGCTCCGATACCCGTGGCAGACTTGCGGAAGCCTTTGTCCAATTCCAGGATTCGTTCATCCCAACACATATCATATAATTGTCTATCACTTTTGTTAGCTGAGCCTAGAATTAGGGTCTGTTCACTTACTTGTACCCATAGTGATGTTCCCAGTTATACCACCATGATTGTTAGATTCAACAAAAGTTTCATAGCCTCCATAGATGTACAGAATTTCATTTTTCATTACCGACGAATGATACCATCTTTGGCACAAATTTTTGACGGGATCTAGCCCTGATGGAATATCGTTTTGCGCACGACGCAACATCTCGAGAGCCTTCATCCCACCCCTCCTTTGCATCTTATCATTCTTATGTAATAGAGACTCCGTGAAAGTGCGCCGTAAATTTCGCGGAGTTTCCAGGTTTCCCTCTATCCTCATCGGCTCTTTGATATCTTTCAAACACGTATTTTCGAGTCACTACCACCAAGGTATCCAGATGCGCTATATGTCGAACTCATCAAAAATTCATAGGCGTGTGAAGAAGTACAAGAGCCATTAGTCAAGAAGAGAAAAAAGTCATGTCAAGAAGCTGGATGGAGAAAAGTTTCACAAAAAGACCATGTCCTGGGTAAAGACTTCTATAGTATGAGCAAAGATTCATACACCAAATAGAGAGTGGCGGAGGCCTGACAGTACCATCTTGCTAAACAACGAGACCTAGACCTTCTTAAGATTGCCAGCCAAGGACTTCCCAAACCGGCACACCAGAATATAGCGAAAGAGGTAGGGGAAATACCAGATACCACTTGCTTGTCCAATGAACTTCCAGAAAACTCACAAGCATTTGTATCGAAGACACGAACACATGCTGTTCCTGCATGGCAAAGGATTCGGCGGTTGCATCTGATGGTAGAAGGATTGCGGCTACCTCATATTTCTTAGAATGGTGCCAGGGGGTTGTGTTAACGAAAGTGGAACTGTATTATATTTATTTATACATCAGCCCCTAAATGAGGATCGAGATAAACAACTGTGAAATACGGGAGACCGAGAGATTCAGACGCGCAGCTGACGATCACGTGAAAAGTGTGAGAAATGCACGGTCCAACTGTAACTTTACACAAATACACGACGTCAACTTCATGCCAAAGAACTCTATATGTCAGTCTCAACCAGCATGGCATTTACGTAGGATGCAAATTCAGTTATAGTTGGAAATGTCGCATTTTTGTGCATCTTTCATCGATGTTTTGGTTTGACAAAACATATCTAGTCTATTTCTTCTTCCATTTGACCCGATCCCAAAATGTCAACCCTTTGACGGACATACCATGGTTGCCATGTTTGGGCAGATACATCTCAATTTCCTCTCTTGTATGATCATCTATGGTACTTGCGAATCTCTCATCAAAACCTATTGGCTGATAGCCAGGGTCCAACGCCGTGAGATATTTCACTATTTCCACCTTTCCGTAATAGATGGCCCAATCTAAAACCCGTCTCTGTGCAGACTGTGTGTCAATGCTGGAGCGACCATATTCTGCCAGTGCCATGATTGTATGTACGTTCCCTACTCTTGCAGCGTACATTAGAGCATTGTTACCATTGACGTCTCGTATGCCTTCATTGGCACCCTGTTCTAGCAAGCACTTTACCCCTCGATCATAGCCCTTTAGACAAGCGATCATTAAAGCTGTATGCTTCGAATCACCGGCTCGAAAGTTGATATCAGCGCCAGCCTGAACCAGTAATTCTATCACGTGTGTGTTGTGAGCGATTCCTTTATCGAAATAAGCGGCTGCTATTAATGGTGTTTCTCCATGTTTCCTATCTTTGACGTCCCAATTGCAAGAATCAACGACTGCATCATACTGTAATAACAATCTCACAGAAAAGACACAATTCTGACGCGAAGCGATATAAAGTGGTGTCAACCCATGTGCATTTTGAACCTCTGTCGATGCACCATGGCTTAACAAGAACTGAACAATGTGGGAGTTCGAAGGCACTTGAGCAGCCCCATGCAATGGTGTGCATTTCAAATCACCTGAGATCAAATTGACGTCGGCACCATTCTCAACTAGTAACTTGACCACATCGACGGATGCTTCATATTGACCGGCAGCCGCAAATAGAGGCGTGCATCCCGCTTCATCGCGTTGGTTCGGCTTGGCGCCATAGGCTAACAAACACTTTATAGCAGACTTGTATCCCCGCTTAGCAGCAAGCACTAAAGCAGTATCGCCATTTTGAGCAAATCGATCCAGATTAAAATCTCCTGACTTGACGAGTGACTCGACCCTTTTCAAGGCTTGCGTCCGTACTGCGTCTATTAGTTCCTCGTGCCCTAAGGGTGTTGTTCGTATGGATTTCATGATCGCTCCTTGGACTTGCGGGTACGCAGTACCCTGGCTTGTAGCGGGAAATTTCGCTAATCGCGAGTGATCTGTGATACACGGCACTTCTACCTCCCTCGTACCAACACCAAGTACTGCTGAGTCTGTATTCCTATTAGCGGCTCGAAATGCATAGAATAAAGTATTGGGCATATTGTGACATGCTTCAAGATGTGCCTACCTGGAGGTACCATCATCTTTTCCAGTCCTTGTCTGGCCCATGTTCCATCTGGCATCTAATGCATGCGTGAGCCATTAGTTTCCTGGGTAAGAGATTGCTACTAACCTCAACCAGAGTTTTGGTTCGGATAGTCTCATAGACTGATAGTATCGCGATATCGGGCGCCGTGGATAGAAAGTGACAAAAATCAGAGTTCAATTCGTTTAGTTCATGAGACCGAAAAGATATTTGTCGAATTAAGGGTGCTGTCGCATCATGCTTAACGAGTTCAAGCAGAGCCTCCGTATCCAATCCTCGATGAGGTGTTCCCATGAATATCATCAAAGGAATTGAAGGCATCACTTTCCATCGCCCTAACATGGCCTAGGTAAATCTGTGAGAAAGAACACTATGCGACACAGATAGTTGCATACCTTTTTAATCACCAAGCCTCCCAAACTATGTCCGACAAATACCAGAGGTCGATCCTGCTACAGTCAATAACTCTCTCGCCAAAACATAAATACTTGGCTTACTGATGCATGCCTGCGTATCTCTTCTACATCGCTACGGAAGCGAGAGCTGAATACTGAAATAACAGCCTCTGAATGGCTACCTTTCAAATGGGAGTCAAATCCATAACTCATTACCCTCGCATTGGGGAAGTCCACCGCCAGTTTGTCTCGCAACCACATATGCGTTGGTTCTGATGCCCATGAACCAAAGGCATTGCCAGCTAGTCCCGTGACAGCAATAATGCTATACCATCTATCAGCAAGAACAATTATGGAAGTGGGAAAGCTCACTCAAGGGCTACTGGTTCTTGTGGCTCATTTAAAGGGGTGAATCCATAGAATGTTTGGTCAACGACAACTCTATTTCCACCGCGGCCTTTCAGAACCGGTAATAGGACCGATGTATTCCAACCCGGCGGTGGTATGAAGTCTACAGTAGCGACTTTCAATTCACTCGACTGACCATCGATAAGCGGTGCGACAGATCTGGCAACAATTCGCATGTCCACCGAGGGATCGAACTGTAAATAATCATGAACGTTCTTCAGTGTTGTATCATGGGGTAGTCCTTCCACTCGGTAGCCTGTACGACCCATCTTTCAAGAGCAAATCCAGGAAATTGACACACAGAAGAGCGATGATGTTGATATCAGTTGGATCAGAGTGTTTCGAACTGCCAACTTACAATCACTGGAATTATTTTGGCCTGGTGTTGGGCCCCTGTAGGTGAAGCACCAAAATCGGAATGTACCTTTCCCTTGGGGATCCTTCCGATGTCAGCATCTCGTCACAAAACTCGAAGAATTTCCACATTCGGCTGAAATTAACATTCTCACCAATAATCCCACGTGGCACTTGGCAAGGATCAAGCTGATGAGGTATCACATCGAGGGATCAATAAGCCTCTATATTAGATGAATATATTCGCGCTTAATTTGCACCATCTCCTTATGATGAAACACGGCATGCCAAGTTTACCATCGCGGGTGGTCTAGGGTTCACAATCCTTACACTGGAATTACCGATCCTACCTTTTAACGTTTACTATCTGAAGACTCAGATGTCGACACTTTAAAAGGTCAGATACAGATTATTATCACAGCCTTATCATAATCTATTCTTGATACAAATAAAAGGGATGGAATCTTTCATTTCATTTATTACTCCTTCATTCTCGGCAATCGACCACACGTATATTTCTTTCATAGGGCTGGAAATAATATGTTAACATAAGGATATCTTTGCCCAAACCAGTAAATGGTCTCATCCAATCATTTTGTGCCCATCGCATATTTGGTAATCCTCCCATTTCTTCCCTATGAGGTCACCGCAAACCCCGGTAATTAAGTGTGACGAGTATGATGCATTCAGTTTCAGAACCAGATCGTTCCACAAAACCAGATGCCTCCTCTTCACTAGTATCTACTATATCGGGCCGGTCCGTTGGGGATTGTGAGACTTGTGTTCGAGTTGCGTAGTGGCCTTGTACTCTTTTCGAATCTACGGTGCAAATACTGTTCTATCAGTATCGAAACCAGACATAAACTAAGCCTGGAAAATCAGACATATCCCCAAGATACTGAATAGCATCTCTTCCATCCACTATCCACTATCCAAGCAGCTTATCCCCAGCAACCGCTGAAAGCCCTATATAGTGATATGTCTTACGAGCAGTCGTCCAAGCTCGCTGAGCACAAACTATCTACAGCCAAGCGTGATGTTAAATTTCCACCGCATGTACGTATCAAAAAATACATGAATACTTATGCATACGCATACACTCAGCAATCACCTCATCATCTCATCTACAAACCCCAATAGAATAACAATAGAATAGCGTAATCATATATATACATGTACAGCCATACACACATAGAAATCAGTAAGCTCACTCATCGAGCGTCAAGGACGCACAAGTTCGGAGAGCGCGATGTATGTGAGATTCATACTATACCTCCGTTCTGTATTTGGGGGCGATAGTGTGGAGACCCTTATTTGTGAGTGGGTACGATTATTACGGTACAGTAAGCGGGAAATCGAATACGGAGTGTTGTGCTAGGGGTGTGTGGTAGGGGGTGTGGTAGTCAGCTAGGGATGTGTTAGGGATTTGTGGTGGGGGATGAGGTGGTGGGCGCTTATTTTTTTTTGGAGATTGAGGTCTGGGTTTGGATTTGGATTAAGATTTGTATTGGTATCCGTTAGCTTAGAATGGGATAAATTAGAGTCATTAAAAAGGAGTACCTACTCTGTAGATACTTGTGATGTAGAAAATTGATTGATGAGGAGAGCACGTGAGTTTCGAATGGGAAACTGACGATTCGTGTACAGTGGTAATCGAGTGTTGCACCAAGGAAATGTAAGATCTTAATTTATAGAACTTTTGTATAAAAACGAAACAAATTCAGTGTTTATTTCCTAACTATTAGTGATGATCTATGACTGGCTCAATCGCAGTCAGATATCCATATAAATATTGCTACATGAGAGAAGGAAGCAGAGAGGAAAGAAATTTATCAGAAGTGTCGTAACTTGTAACCCAATGCTAAGCCGTCGTAAACATATTGACTTCTTGAGATACCCTATGAAGAAGAAAGGAAGAAAGAAGGAGATAAATAAAGGCAAAAAGCAACAAAAGAAGAAGAAAAAAGAACCCCGAGAAACCCCAAAACCCGCCCAATCCCCACCCCTTAACACAAACCCCCCACGCGAACCAAAGCCAGCAAGCTCCATTTCGCATGCCCATGCTGCTCCCCAAAAATTTCCACCTGTCCCTCATACGCCCTCGTATGCCATGTCACCGCCTCCGCCACCTCTCCTCTCCCTTCATAACACAACGCGAGTGAATTCATCGCCCACAGCGTATCCGCATGCATACCTCCATTTACCTGAATTCGCTGTTCCAGAACTCTTTTCCGCGTCTCAAACGCCTCGTCTATTCTCCCCAGCTGTGCAAGACAGCGCGCTGTATCGGAGAGTGTCCAGATAGCGTGGGGGTGAAGGGGACCGAGGGTGCGAACCATAGAGTTGTAGGCGCGGGTGTGGAGAGAGAGGGCTTCGTGGGGGAGACAGGGGGTGCGGTGCGGAGAGCGGTAGCAGCGGGCGAGGGCGTTTTGGGTCCAGATGATGTGGTGGTCTGTTGGGGGAAAGAGGAGTTCGAGAGTACGGAGGGCGCGGAGATGCAGAGATTCGGCTTCGGATTGTTTTTGTAGGTGGCGACAGACGCGGCCGAGTTCATTGATGGTGATGATTATGTCGAGGTGATCGTGGGGAAGGAAACTGGGGAGGGATTAGATTTTTTTTTGGATGTTTGAGAAGAGGAGTGGAAGATTTACCGAAGTTGAACGGCGAGAGCTTGACGCTGGATAGCTTCCGCGAGACGAAAGCGTCCTTGCTGATCGTAGAGAATTCCAAGACTATTTAATAACCAAGTCTTTGACGCTTTTCCCGAATTAGTACCTCCAGTCTTTGTGATTTCCTCTTCAAATACCCGAACTCCCATATCTATTTGTCCACTCATCGTATATAGTCTCGCTAAATCTCGGATAATCATTGATCTTTCGAAATTAGAGATGATGTTAATATTACCCGGTCCTCCACGACGTTGTGATTGTATGAAATCGTCTAATCGGAACAAAGCTTTTTGTATATCCATCAAATCTTCTGCACTTTGTTTTCCAAGGGTCCCAGATTGGTTCGTCCATGTTTGAACTAGTCTTTGGAGTTTTGCTATTCGATGCATGGGAAAGGGTAGATCTTCTGATAGTAATGATCTAGTGATCCAAGCCGATCTTCTTGTTTCGGATGCAACGAACTTTTCGTATTGACGATGCAGCTTCGAGTCGTATACAGAGAGTGACAAATGGTAGCACCAGTTCTCGGTGGCATATTTTGCTAAGGGGTATTGTTGTGAATTCAAATTGATCGATTCGGCAATCCCCGATTTGCTTAGGTACGTCAAAGTTGCTTGTGCTAGTCCAAAGTGCGCGTATTTTGCTTCAAGAAGAAACCCAGTTGCTTGAGGTGATAGCAGAATAAAGTTTGACTGGTCATGCAGATATTCATAGACTGATAAATGGCCAAGATGGAATGTATCGGATTCAGTTCTATACTCAACCAAAGGACAACAGGCTTCCAGTACCGAGTCTTTAGAAGGCGCAATGTTTCCATCGAAAATCATCCTTTCCTCGTCCCAGGATAATGCACACTGTAATTCTAGCCAATTGAGAGGTCTCGAAGTTCTACATACCCAATTGAATATTCGACGAGCTAAAGATTGGTGCACAATTGGTTTTAATGCCAAACGTTCCAGAATCTGTCCGTATACATTGTAGAGCCCTGTTGGAAGTCTATCCAAAGAGGCTAGCATATCCTGTGTACTGAACGTTGCTTGCAGTGTTTCCATCCCTAGTCGTGCGAACAAAAACATGCCCGCGGCTTTCTGTGATAATACATTATAGACATATTGTTTCAAGTGAGATTCCGTACAAGGAAGGGTTTCAATGGCCTCTCTCAAATACTGGTCGATATCTGACTGGACAGAATTCGCATTGATGTGGATAGAAGGCAACAAGCCCAATTCCTTTCGCACTGGTAAGATGTCCCGTGAAAAGAATAATAGGCGAATAGAGTTGCGATCTCTGGAAACGCCGTTCAATAAACGCAACATACCTGACATGTCTTCGGATTCACATTCGTCAACTCCGTCTATGATAATTTTCAGTGCTGGTAATTCATGAAGCACTTCTGTAAGTAACTCCGGGATTCTATCGGCGAAGGAAATGCGGCATCGTCCATATCTTTCGGCAAAGAGATATGCAGATATCAGTGCTTGTGGAATAACGTTTGCTTGTGCTGTAATTTGACCTAGAAGACTGATATATGTGGATTCCTGCGATTGTTTTAATCTGTCTGTCGAACTGCAGTGAAAATATACTGTGGGAGTGGACCCAAAATAATCTTGTAAATACTGGATTACAGTGGCACTGAGAATCGTTTTCCCGCAGCCTGGAGAGCCATAGCACCATAGTATCGGGTCTGACAGTCCATTAAGCCAATTTTGAAAGCTTGTGTTAGTAAGTAGCCATTGTCCCGTATTTGCCGATCTTTTAGCGCAAGCTTGATGTAAACTCTCGTAGTATTCGCCTGGATACAACCAAGTCATTACTTGTGTTCTAATATCTGCATCTGGATTATTCATCAGCATTAACCTCGGTAGTTGTCATGAATCATCAAGTGAACTCTACCGACCCTGGTTCTCCAGAGGAAACGAGATTTCCATGACGCCATCTTCGCTCATCTGAGGTTGCTTCACGGCGTAAAATTCCGTATACTGTTCATATGCAAGCGTGGCTTCCTGGGATAATATTTGGGTGGCTTTGGAAAGCCGTTGAACGTGGTCAGTGAACTCCGCGTCGAGAGATTTTAAAACTGTGCGTTCAAGCTTAAATGCTTAGACTGGTCAGTCGACATCTTTGCGGGCTATAGATGCAAGGCAACCTACTTTCTCTAGATAAGGCTGATCGAACCGTTCCTAAGAAAACAAGGATCTGGAAGTACACATCCGCAAGAGCACTGGACACTCGGGGCTCGCTCCCGAAAATGACTTCATAATGGACAGAGATGTCCACGATATTGGTAATTTTCAGTATGATCCTCGAAACCAATTGATAGTAACGATTTGAGGTACGTCCAATCTAATTGATATTCAGCACTGGTTCCCTTTAAATCAAACTGTATACATGCTTACCTCTAATAAAGCTTTCGTTGCACTCCACACTAAAGCAGATGGAGCAGGATAACACTGAATCATCATATCCACAGCCGGTCCGCACATGGTAAGGAAGTCTATTAGAGGAGAGATTTTTTGACTGAAGCATTGTGAGTTATTATTCGATGGATAATAGTTTTCAAGTAATTCGATTTCTTTCATCAGATCTTCGACATTCGCACCCAAGGAACAATTGCCTGCTGATTGTAGCTTATCAACATAATTTTGCAGTAGTGTACCGACTGGCATAAGCCTTGGTTCATTCTCGAGATACATTTCCACCCTCTGTTCTTGCATTGTCGAGCAGAACTTAAATCTTAAAAACGAGGAGAATGACTGTAGTGTATGGTATTATATTGTACAAGATTGTACATCACACCTTGCAAAACCGACGTGCAATGTGTAAGTAACGTGATCAAACTATATGCGCCCTACTCCAAGTTTTACAGGTGAGTGCGTATAAGCCTGTACTGGTGTTTGTTGGAGGCCAAATGTCGATCAGGTTTCTTTCGTTTCTGCCACTGCTGAGTAAAGTAAGATAGGTTAACGAGGGGCGGGTAATTAGACAGATGGATATGCTGATAAGCGCGTCGCTATATTTCGATAGTGAAGGTACAAATCAGTTGCAAGGGCAAACAATTTCTTGTCGAAGCATTTCTTGATATTGCCTTGGAGCAAATTACAAAGCCAAAAAAAGAACTTCCACTGAATAACAGATTCTCGAATTGGCAGGAGTAATAAAGATTGCAAAAGGATCCTTGAAGTCCACTTCCGGAATTGGGGTCCAAAGTCACTCTCCTATTATCTCCCGTAAGCTTGAACACGAGCAAAGGTCCTAACAGGCATTCCGATCCTCCTCCAAGTTCAGCTAGAAAACCAATCTCTCAATGACAAGTGGGGATGATATTATTAAGGTTAATTAACCGCTATAGCTTAATTCCAAATTTATATGTTGTATTAAAAGCAACCTGGAATCTAAGTGAGACGTTAGTCTAAAGTTTTGATTCGATTTTGACACAGTCGATCGAGTACACTTGTATGACAAACCGGAATCATGGTATGATAGACTTAGTTTGAACAGTGATGCATTTCGCAAAGGCCGAAGAACAATGTATAGAAATCTGATTTAAATTTTTTGCGCCTGAATATTGTATCTAGTAACGCCCGTCCGCCTACCTACTAACCATATGTGCCACTCCGCAGAAATAGCCTCATTCTAACACAAGATACATTTTTCAACCCAATAAGTCATCCAATCCCCCTCCCAGCTTTTGTTGTGAAGTTTGTGGAGGGGCTGATCCTGCTGATGAAGCACCCCAAATACCAGCACTTGCTTTCTCCTTGGCCAGTTGTCCTAAAGCTGGACCTGAAGTTGTAGGAGTGCTACTCTTCTTAATACCAGCACTGGCACTAGACCATAAAGATCCAAAAGCATCTCCTCCAGACGACTTGGCAGCTGTAGGTGATTTGACGGAGGATGTGGCCGACATAGGATTTGATTGTGTGCTGGGGGCTTGGATGGATGTAAAATAATTCGGTTGTGTACTTTGATAACCTGTCTGAACTGGGCGGGGCTGTTGAGCCATTGCAGGTGGAGAAAATGCAGAATAATTAGCTGGGGTATTGTTGGTGCTTGTTGCTGGTGAAATTGAAGAGAACCCAACTAGATCACTCAAGTTTGCAGCTTTTGGTGCCGAGACTGGTTGAGGTGAGGCATATTGTGTATTACTGGTCGTAGTAGCAGAATGTTGTAAGACTGGGGAGAATGCTGCCGGCGCGGCTGGTTGTGCGGGTGTCGCAGACTGGAAATCATCGAAGTCATCATCATCGGCCAAAGCATTCGATGCTGCAGGCGCAACTGCTGGTGTAGATACCGGTATTGGGTCATCAAAGGAGAATAAGTCGACTTCGGGTTCCTTCTTCTTTGGAGGCTCAACCTTTTTCGTCGATCGCTCGGTTCCAACTCTCTTGCGATTGGATGCTGCTGAGGAGCTTTCGGCCTGTCTTCGTGACGATGAAGGAGCCGCACCCTCGTCATATTCATCATATTCCTCAAACTTGTCTCTGCGGCTACTACTTCCACCAAAATCCCCTTGATTACCGGAATCTTGGAAATCACTGGTCTGGCCCCCAAATCCACCACCATCTCCATATACACCTCCACTGTATCCGCCGTAACCACCTTGTTCCTCACTCCCAAAACCTCCGTACCTACTGGAACTGGACATTCCACCACCTAATCCTGCACCACCTTCAAGTCCAGTATATTTATTTCGGGTAGCTCGTGCTTTCTTCCGTTCCGCCCGAATCCGGTCGACATCACTAAGTAATTCAGCCAATTCCTTGGCTCTGTTTCTAACGTTTACACCTTGATCTTTGCCATTCTGATCGATGAAGTGAAATTGGCGTAACATCTTGAGGAGTGTCAAATGCGATCGCGCATCATCAATAACACGCTCGGAGCCATTCTTGATTAAGAACTCGAGTAACTGTAATCCTTTGTATATTTGTCTCCATTCCTCGGCAGCTTTCTCTGTAAATCTCTTATAAATCATAGGCATAATCTCATTGAGTAGTTGGCTAGAGCTGAATCAGTGTACGAACTTGTTTCTTGGCCGAATTAACTTACTAGTTATATGTGCCATTGGCGATCTCCTGCATCACTGTAATACGGCATTAGGATTGACAGTTTCGCAATCGAGATGAACAGATCTTGCGACTAACATGAAGAACTTGCACCCCATGGCTCATTGTTGGTAGCCTCTCTCACTTTGGCCTCCATCTCAGTATAATTCATCACAGCTACATGATTGTTAGTCGATGGTCAACTCAGCCAGCTGTCTACACTGAGCTCTTACCATTTTGTACTTTTCGCACACCCGCCTTCAAATCATACAACGTCAAATTGGACGCGGCCTCCTTCAAACTGGCGAGATCCATGGCGAGAGAGGTTGAATAGAATTAATAGAATTAATTGATGATATGGAGTTACAGACGCGGGGGAAATTATCTGGATACTGTATGGAGATGGAGAAGTCCCATGTGTCCTAGAACGGCGGCCGATCGTAAGCTAAGTTGACACTAACCTCAGAAGGATGTTGAGTCACGTGATATGTGCTCCAAGTCGGTAGCAAGATCTTCTAACTAGCAGAGAAGAGAAATCTAATGAATTGTCTTTGGCTATGTGATGGGTAGTTTAAAGAACAGCTACCTATCATTCTCTTGATATTTTCGACACTTCCATTGCTATGTCGAGACCTGAATGTCTACTGTCTATACGAAAGCAACGGTTATACTGATGCTGGAGAATCATGGCAGAAGTACGTAAGGAAGCGGTGAAGAGCCCTTGCTCTCATTTCAACAGTTATATCAAGCCGGGGAAAATTTGCTTCAAGAGGAAAGGAAAGAAGTTAAATATATCTTCAAAGTTTACTGCTTTACTCTGGAGACATCATCTATAGACTACAGAGTATAGAGTACCACGTTGTACAATCGGTGTAGTATTCGCCAATCTTCTCTTGCCTGCCCCTCCCCCGATCAATCGCATCTGACCGTGTTTTCTTCGGTATAAAAACAAGCATACCCTTCACCAAACCAAATAAGGTACGTCGCTGAGATACCCGAGCAAACTTGCAGGAGTGAGACCTGCAGGTGAAGCACATGTTTCGTATTCCATTGCACGCTTTTGAATGATTGGGGCATTGAGTTTGCAAAGTCACCCGCTTCCGCCTCTTGTGTGCTGCGGTTTTTGCCTCCCCTCCACCCGAGAAAAGAGTTGATGAAGGCGTCATGTCATCCTCAACCAAATGCGCGGCGTCTCCTGATTGGATTTGCCGCCATGGTACATTTCGACATGACCGAAATACTAGACCGAGCAAGTTCGGATCATCTAGACTTCTATATATCCAGCAAGCTGCAAAACGCCGATGAATATGGATTTGTTGATGATATGATGCATCTGAAAAGTGGCTATGAGAGGCCACTCTTTAGTTCGAAGTTATAATACGTGCCGGGACATTTAGTAAATTAGTATGTACCTGGCGATAGTTTAACTGGGACCAAGATTAACCTCGATGATTACCCTTTAAACGGTACTACTGTAGTTTAGATAAGCATATAGATTGAAGAAGAAGCAGAGATCAAGGGAGAAAGCAGAAAGATATTCCCCTTTTGAAGAACATCTACTTGAACCGCTGGTCTTGCCATACATAGTCTATCTCTATTTACTGGTAACTGTCGTACATGTACATCAGCTCTATTCGAGTAGAAGCTAGGTATATGCTGCTAGCCATCAAACCTTACTCAGGAATTATCTCATTGCCTACTCCGTAGTAATAAACTCCTACCCCTACCTTTGCTGAGCTCACCCTACCCCACCTGCATTTACTTGTTTTCTTTTCCCCCTCCTTCCGATCGATTCCTTCTCTTTCCCTTCCATTCAATCTAACCAATCCTTTCCAGTGACAACCCGAAGAATATCCCTGAACATTTCACCTTGTTTTCTTGATTTGCTTTGGTATTAGTACGCTCACCCTCTCTTGCCCCATCTACTGGTCATTCGTGCTACGACGACTGCTACTACCGTACCTTGCCTTGCCTTGTTACTTCACTCACTCACTCACTCACACACACGCACACACACACACACACACATTCCCACGCACGCCTCATATTCACCACCACCTTTTTTACCCTGCCCCACCAGAGAACTAATTCAACCAATTAGGGAGCTCCTAACAACTTCGCTAAAAATGCTATTCGTGCCCCGCACTGCTTCTGTGTTGAAAAGCACTTCGCTGCCCCTCCTTCGCAACACCTTCATCAACAACTCTTTCAACTCCATCTCTTCAAGACAATTTCACGCAACTAAATCAAATATGGCCATTTCAACGTACGTTCTCATAGCAGACTCTCATCAATAGAAGTTCATGGAAACTCACATATCAATAGTTTCTTCGATGTTACCTGGGAGGGTCCAGTCCTTGACGCTTCCGGAAAGGCTACCTCTACTATCCAAGGTAAGTGATGCAATCACCATCTCATTGATTCATTTTATATCAACTTCATTATAACCTCAACTACTTTCCATCACACTATCGTTCCGCGCATCTATTATTGCGCCAATTGAGCTTTTGTTGAGCTCCAAAGGCACATTTTGTTTATTCTGATTGTCGTCATCTTTGCCCCACCTTCCACTTCCCCTCTTGGTTTCCGGAGCTGACATGTACTTTCTTCATTACAGAGCAAGCTGGAAGAATTAAGTTCACCCTTTACGATGATGTAGTCCCAAAGACCGCTGAGAACTTCCGTGCTCTCTGCACTGGTGAGAAGGGTTTCGGATACGAGGGTTCTTCCTTCCACAGAATCATTCCTCAATTCATGCTTCAAGGAGGTGACTTCACCCGTGGCAACGTACGTTACAAATACTCGATCAAAACAATTCATCAAACTCGAAGCTAAAAATAATAATACAGGGTACCGGTGGAAAGTCAATCTACGGTGAGAAGTTCGCCGATGAGAACTTCGAGCGAAAGCACACCCGTCCAGGTCTTCTCTCCATGGCCAACGCTGGACCAAACACGTAAGTTTACAAACCTCCTCGGAGCCTTTACAATTGTTCAATCGACTAATAACTATGTAGCAACGGCTCCCAATTCTTCGTTACCACCGTTGTTACCAGCTGGTTGGATGGCAAGCACGTCGTCTTCGGTGAGGTTGCCGATGATGAGTCCTTGAAGATTGTCAAGGCTCTCGAGGCCACCGGATCCGGCAGTGGAAAGGTTCAATACAACAAGAAGCCAACCATTGTCAAGTCTGGCCAACTATAAATGCATTTACTAGCGAGTGTACCGGTGGCAGGTGGTTTTTGAGCCCGACATCGTTCGGTAATCTTCATTATGATTAGCTATCTGGCGGAATGAATGACGAAAAGTAATGCAACGGATTTTACTAAATTATTCTGTTTTTTGTATGTGACATCTACCTATGTGATTAGAGGCCTGAATTTTTGATGCTTCCCATTTGTGGTATCTTTCCTGAACTCCAATGCCGGCCATCGCTATGCTATGTAATAGAATGCTATCCCCATTAACCATTTTCGCTCTAAATGTTCAACCATGTTTGAAAGTATTCGCAGGTACTTGGTCCTACAGGCCCGCCCTCTTCACACAGATCGGCAACCGGACAGTGTCCACACGGAACATCCGTCAAGGCACTAAATGGGCCACCTTCCTGTTCCTCCCTAAATGATTTCCTTACAGCCCTATAGCAAACACCTTCTGGACCCGCAAGAACCCTCTCAATCTTATTATCAAAAATCAATATATCCAGTAATTGCTGGATATCCTGAGCAGTCAAAGTCATAGCCGTTGCTCCTGAATTATCAATGAACGATGTGAGTTCATTGAGGGTCGGATATCCTTGGTAGCCGGGTGGCATCGGTAATAGGGCATCGTAGTGTCTTCTAGCCCTATCTATAGCATCGTCCTCAGCAACATCTTCAATTTTGACTCGGGACCCTAAAGTTTCGTCTCTCAATGCTTTTGCTTCATCCGAGGACATTTTCTTTCCCATCACCTTCTTTGGCCTCCTCAAACTCGCCGAACTGGATTTATAGAAAGATTTCCTGTGGATGTGATCAAACAAAATATGCGAGATTTGTGTGATGAACTCCTCGTCTAGTTCATTGTCGGTATACCATGCTCCACCAGTAGCGCGATCGGAAGGCTGCAGACTGGATTTGATGTACATTTTCCTATTACGTGCCTCTACGGATTTCATTTCTGAGATCAAGTGTTTGGTCTCGAGGTGCTTGAGCGCCGTGCGGAACACTGCATCGTGAAGATTGGACCGAGCCTTGATGGTTTTGGTCCATATTCCTTCTTGACCGGCTTCGTCGATGAGTGCGTAGACAATTTCTTGTTCGGAGGAAAGACTGCGATAACTGTTTGGGGACTCATTAGCATTGTACATAGATCATGAATTCGCGATTCTGGTTCGAATCGATCCCAGGATTAGGCGCAAACGGAAAGGAAATTCATACTTCTTAGCTTCCTCTTCCGTACGCAATTTCCAACCAATTCCCCTCTGCGAATCCTGAACCACCTTGAACAATTTATCATTTGTGAGGCCCTGCGTGACAGCCAACAGCACCGCCACATCATCATTCGGTAGAACCTTGAGTTCGAACAGATCATCTTGGAAAAAGGTAGGATTGTCTTCGAACGATTCAAAACACTCGTCATAAAGGACTTTTTTCAAGGCTGTGATTTTATCATCGGGCGCTGAGGCCGCGGTCGCGGCTCGTGAAGACATGATGGGTTATGTGTTGTGCGAATGGGAAGCTGGAATTTGTGCTACCGGTTTTGACGTAACATTGAGGAATTATCTAGGTAGAGAATCGACGTTGCTGTTTGGCTGGTGGAATTGTAGAAAGGTTGTTCTATTGTATCGTAGATGGAAATAAATTATTTTTGGAGGGGGACGATAACCTTAGACGAGGCTAGATTTGATAAAATCAAAAATTCGCGCCTTGTCGTGTAGCCTGTAATCAGGCTAGATTACTAAGCGGCTCTGAAGTGCACCAATGGTCATTCGGTGACTTCAATACTGAAAGTTTAATGTCACGTAAATGTCTCTTTTGAATTGATAGTTTTACTCTTCTTGTTATACTTCAATATTTATTATTATCACTGGTCTTGAGATGTTCTCGGGATTACTAGTGGATGTATTATGTGTGAAGGGTGATCATATCGAATCGAAGTACACTGTCTATATGTTTCAATACCTAGGTAGATACAGTTCATTGAATAAATTATAGCCATAGTTAAATTTCAAAAGAAGACTGGAGATACCTATGTACCTATGTAGGTAAGGGAAATGTAAGATAAGAATTCATGGTTCAAGACTAGGTTAAACAACAGAGTTCAGATGCCTGATGTTGAATTGGAGAGTGAAGAATGAAGTCTAGATATCTGAGATTGAGCTGGCCAGTGAAGCATCAATTCTCAAGATAGAGTGGTATATCTATGTTGTGAAATGATCTCAGTCCTCGGCCTTGACTTGTCAAATCTACATAGCACAACCTTGGCTGGTGTCTACTAAACATCGAGGCCGTACCGTACAATTACGGTGAATAGCTACAATGGGCAGGTGTTGTGAATGCATTCAAAGCCAATCGATTGATTACTTAGCATACCTACCTGCTGATGGGACTTTGTCCAAACATCAATCACATCTAACAACCTTGAAACACAACATCTCTGTTGCTGGTTGAATCATGGCGACTCCCATTACTAGTTTCCGTTTGGTAAATGGTAGCATCTTGCCAGCTATTGGCTTAGGATTAGGAACCTTCCAAGGCAATGATTGGAATGAGGAAGTAAAGAACATCGTGAAGGCGGCGATTCAAGCTGGATATCGCCATATTGATGGCGCAGTAGCGTATGAAAATGAAAAGGCTTTTGGAGATGCTTCTAAGGAAAGTAGTGTCTTGAGAGATGAGTTCTTTGTCACTACTGAACTGTGGGCTCAAAAGAATTGAAACCACAACAATGCCTGTTGATTCTGTTAAGAGCTCAATCGTGGCACGAGCCTAAAGACGTCGAGCGTGCGTTGGATTTGAGTTTGAAAGCTCTAGGCTTGGAATATGGTAAGTGATGTACATCCAAAGCGCACCTGGTGTAGGTGCCAATAACACAATGGTTGATTTATATCATATGCATTGTCAGTGATTATCAAGTCCCTCTGACTATGAACCATGGACTGACGATTGATACTTAGTCCCCCACGCCTACCTTCCAGGTCCAAATAATGGTACGACTCAACATCCCAGCGGTAATGGAAAGGTAAAGTTTATCTCATCTCCATGAAAGTTGATGACGGCTAAGTAAATGCAAGCCGGTGGTTGATTGTGAACGATCTCGCAAGTACACGAAACCTTGGCAAGCAATGGAGGAGTTAGTGAATAGCGGTAAAGCGAAAGCCATCGGTAGGATATGGATCCTTCTAGTAAATCAGAATCAAAATTGACAACTTCAGGGTTGTCCAATTTCAATATTCTCAAGATTAAGCGGATTTTGGAGGTTGCGAGAATTCGTCCCGTGGTTAATCAAGTCGAGGCTTGTCCATAGTTGTTGAAGTTTTCATTCAACAACGATTGGGCGCTGATGATATTCAGCGTAGTTAGTTTCCCAGCGTGAGCTGCTTCAATTTTGCAAGAAAGAGCACATTCATCTTATGACCCAGCAGCCACTAGGAAGAAAGCCTCTTGAAGTAGTAGCTCCTCATGCCGACATCCCTAGACCTCTTTTTGATACCAAGGTAAACACAGGAGTCAGTATTAATTGCATAGCATACAGCTAATGATAATAGATTGCTCAGATTACCAATCAGACTGACATAACTCCGGCACAGGTCATTCTATCCTAGGAGGTCCAGCGTGGCACTTCAGTAATTCCAAAGACTTCCAATGAGAGCCGCTTTCTGAGAATCTCTGCGTTGCGTCATTAAGTGAGAAGCACTTTGCCATCATTAATGGTTTGGCGACAACCATTGAGAGTGGACCTGTGAGATATTTAACCCGTGTAACTATCTACGATTTGATGTCTTTGACGAAGATCCCGATCAACCGGTGGATAATCAAGCACCTTGGGAATTATAGGGGGATCCTGGTTAAAGCTAGTAGAGACAGTCCTCTACTATCAGCGAAAGATTTCATGAGCTTGGTCGGGAATTGGAGCTCATGGAAGTTTTGGACTCTAGAGTGAAGGTGATGACGACTGCGTGTTGATTAGAAAGCCTGAAAATTCATGAAAGTTGACAATGAAAGAACTAGAGATATCTGCACATTGATAGAATCAGGGAACCCATCTTGCAAATCACCTTCATTGCAAAATTGGATAGAGATTATTCTCTGAAACTCTAACATGACACCATCTGGAATATTCACCAATCTAAGATTCCGTTGAGAGGATACTTCCAAAGGTAATATGACGCAGGGAAACTAAAATCAATCCCTTCTAAAACAGCTCTAACACATTAGAGCGCTCACTACACAGCTTCTTTACAATCTTATCAAACTTACAGTAAATGCAGTCTGAATTTCTCCGTGTTCTATGCTTTATATGTACTTCCCAAATACCCCTCTGAATAGCCATAATCTCCACAGATCTGTAAATTTTTCTAGGTGGATATTGATTTAAAAGTGTTCCAAAATGATCTTAAATAAATCTGTGAAGAGAGTAAAGGTTTTCATGGTTTTTCGTTTTGCATTGACAAAACTCATTGAATGAGTCAAAGAGCATAAGAAGTCGATATTTGGAATCGTCGGCACCATCCTAACAGCTATAGAGTTGGGAATCGTATAACATATACGTTCGAAAGATTCTCACTATTCAAGCGCGTCTGGGAGGTTAACACGACCTGAATCTCTGAGTCAATCTAGTACAATAATAGATCAATGCTTGTATCTATTCGGTACATTCAGAAGCGACACCGGATTGGCACTTCAATTACACGGCTTTAGCTGTTTGTGGATTTGAATAAATAGCGTGTGACATCTTGAAATTATCTAGTAGTATGTTAAGTAATGTTAGATGTGAGATCTCAAATCTTCATCGTCTCCATTGTGTTGCAGACTTAATGACTGTGAACTTTCAATGCAAATATAAGTGTCAAACTATATCAAACTTCGAGATCTGACGGCAGTCCTTCATGATATATCTCTACCAAATACTTCATAGTCCTCTTCGGTGAAGGCTTCGGTATATAGGCATGACACACATATAAATATGCTCTCGAGAACTTATTACGCTCTAGTCGCCAGTTGCCCAACTCATCTATATTGACATATCATTGACATATCAACAAGACTTGGCTTGATTCTTCCCTCCAAAGGTCAAAGAAATCGAGGAATGACCTTCTCAAAAAACGCAGGGAGCATAGCTTCTAGCTCCTCATTCGTCCTGCGCGTGCTGTATTGATCTTCAACATGTGACGGAACCCATCTGTGAAGAAAGATTTGCAACTGTCAGAATAGTCATTTTTCTGTGGGAGGTCACCATTGAATATCACTGTGTGGAAGCCAAATTTATTGGTTGGAGAAACAGAGTTCTTATGTACTCTGGCAATTTACTCACAGAATGAACAGGGTTCTACCAATTCGCCTATGATTGATAGATATTGGCCACGGTACAAGTGACAGTCTGACTCGTTTTTCATTGATCCTTGGGCGATTGGTGAAGCTATAAACCCAGGAATAACTTTCTTTATGGCCTTCATCGACTCAAATTCTCCATTGATAGCAGCTCGATTCAAGTCGCCAACTGTTGTCTAAAGCTCCATATTGGTGTGTCGTATCTTGCAATATTCATAAGAATACCTTTAGATAGTAGTCTTGATTTATCCCATCTTTCAGTAGCGTTGAAATCCTAGATTTAGTTGTCCAGGCGGAGACACCCAAGCCAGATATTTCGTGTACTTTTTCCACCTCGGGAGGCTCTGCGCTGCGGTCGGCCGGCAGCTGATTCTTCCTATCATATTGTGTCTTAACCCCAGCATCAAAGTACTTAATCGTATTCCAGATCTTATACTGATAAGACACCACATTCAGAATGCGCAAATCCAGTTCGTGCAATGAAGTTGAGAGTTTGTAACCTGATGAGACTTTCTGGTAGAAATATCTAGGTTCATTTTGTACAATTTGCATCAGCCCATTGAGATCCAACGATAGGATGTACCGCTGACTTTGTGCGTCTGAAGTCTTATTTATGCTCCTATGAGATGCGGATAAATTGACCAGCATCCTCTGAAAGATCCATGGTACAGAAGGCAAAAGTGAGCATACCAGCGAGAATATTTGGATCTAGAACATTTTCAAGAGCTGAACTAGGTTCCTTGTTGGTTGTGAGGATAACAATACAATTAAGATACTAGTAATTGAACGAATTCCAGAGTTTCGCCTCTATTTCTTCTACTCGATCGCCTGGGAATCGAGTGGTGAAATGCAGAAGAAGAGCGGTCAAGTTTGGCGGTTACGTGCAGTATGTATCTAACTTAATACAAGTCCATGAAAGGCATAGCAAAGTTAACAGTCAATCATATACCAAGCAAGATAATTGTGCCATACAACGTATTTTCGATCTGCAGCTTGGGGATTTGAGTATAAATGTTAATATTCAACAAGAATCATTGATGAATAAGACGTCGATATGATGAAGGAAAGTTAAATGCAAAAAGTAGTCTCCCGAGTATTGCTATTTGCGGCGGTCGGAGTATTTAGAATTGAAGCTATTGCTACGTGTTTACAAAATTGATAGGCCTAGATGATGTAGCAAGCATGGCATAGTGTATTTGAAATTATACTTTACAATTTTCGACATTCGATGGAAAAGCATCTTCCTCGGCATATCAAGAAAAGGGTAATATATCTTACATTCAACACCATAGGGGCACAGCAAGATTGGCAGATGCGCACAGTATCGTTACTGATTGGATAGCTTCCGCCGAGACCATGGGTATACTTAGCTCAAACCTCAAAAAGGAAACCAGACATTACTATGATGATCCCTCATAACATAAGCGATCTGGAAATATATACTGGCCTCGGGAGATTTTGAAGATGCACAGTGAATTTGCAGTGCTTCATTCAGTCTCACGATATGCGCCTCTTGAAAGTCTCATACCGAGGATCAAATCATGCCAAAACACATAAGCAATATACTATCAGGGCTTTCTTGAAAGAAGACATTCATGATTTCTACTTCGCCCATAATATCGTCTGAAACCTTGAGCCTCATACACCTCATTCATCATCTCCAGCGAATAATGATTCATGACTTCACGTGGTACCAAGTCTCCCTTCTGTGATTTTGTTGCATATCTGCAGGTGTATATAGTCGCTAGTGTATCGTGGCGTTGCTAGCGTGTAACGTGTTTGATCTCTCGCCAATTTAACTCCCATGGTCGCAAATTAACGCACCTCAGACGTGCAACAGAGTTTACGACATGCGTATATCATGTGTTAATCGCCTAGGCTGACTGAGGTTTTGTTGCACATCTCGATGCGCTTTGCTAATCGCTTACTAGCACTTTCTACACAAATTAGTAAGTGACTGAGCTAGCGATTATATATCAGGCTAGCACATAGGCTAGCATATATACGATTTCTAGATATGCAACGAAAGCTTTTGGGAGGCTCGTGCTTAGCCAAGTCAGGTAGTGAATAGGTGATAGGGCCACGTACGTTAATGCTAATCGTCCGACAATATTCGGACTGTTGTGCTTTCTTATACCCATTCGACACTTCTATAAATTCATTGCCTTTGAATGCCGGTGATTCTAAAGCTACATAACATCGAGCTATGAGAAATAGAATTCTGTCATGTCAACATCTAATTACAGTTGCAAAATTCTTCTCTTCCTAATTGATTCAAAAGATAGGTATTCACAAGATGAATACTTTGTAATCTTGGTCTCGTGATTACTAAGTTTCAATATGCGTTGAAGTTGGATCACTAAATTATATTGAAGAATCTACATAGAGATTACATCTCTATTCGATGATAACCTATAAATACCGTTCTCTCACTGACAATAACACATGTATGCAATCCACCACAGTGGAAGAGTGCCAAAACTAATGTTGAAATGTACATTTCTCCGCATTCCTGCGTGGACAAACAAAAAGATCACTATCGATTTAATTCCCCGTTCCATGAAGGGTTTACTGTATCCAGTCATTAGCCATATCTTCTGTCCATATTTTCCTCGTAGTTAATCATTACCACAATATATGATGACTTGAGGCACCGTCGGAACATGATAGATTTGACGATGAAAGCTTGGGTGACTTCTGGACTCAGATCGATTACGAAAGTCAGGGTCTTCAAGCTTCCAAATTTGCACAAGGAGAACAAAAGGCCGATATACAATAATTCTTCCGACAACAACCGGCTAGGTTTGACTTTGATGTTATGACACATTCACTACTGACCGCTACTCGACTACCATCAAAGCACTTAGTAGCCTCGAATATCTTGGTCCATGTCTCTAATCTACCACATCACTGATTTGCACGGCCCAAATTCCCTTTTCTAAGTAATCGATCTTTGGGTCTGTAGTCTAAATATAGAGTAGGTTTGGGTTATCCCCAGACATCAAACGTCATTTCTTCATTCCGGACCATTGGATCCATCCACAGACAAAATGCAGTTTTACCTGACAACTACAGACGAATGTTTCTTCGTAGAGAAAAACGAGCTAGCAATCCTCAAACGAGGGTTAGATTTACCACAGATAACAAGACCACCTGAATTTCTACCTGAAAAGAACCTATTCGGAGCTTGCTATGCTGGAGATGATATATTTTCATCAGATTAGGAGTACTTGGAAAATATAAAAACAGTTGGGTCTTCATATAATCTTTTACACACATGAAAGGAGATTGCAAATCTTGAACGGACTAGAGTCATCTACGACAAGGAATAGTATGAAGCTGGAGCACTGGAGTTTGAGCTAGGAGACTTTGATCAAAGCAGAGAACAACTACAGGCCCGAGTAACAAATAACAACGACATTACTGAACATTCGGAGAATTCCATCGTGTCTTCAAGAAAACAGAGAACAGATGACCATTTGTGAAATTCAGCCTGAAGCCTTAGCATTGAAACATCTAGACCTAAAAGTTGACATGTAATTCACTTAACAAGTATCCCTTGGGGCCTGATATATACTTCAAAAATGTCCGGTCATTATCCGACTGAAGTTCTAACATCAAAGCACTATCATCTGAGGGATCTGAAAGGTATCAAACTTGTGTACTGGGAAAATAATTAATGAGAGTATGTTGTGTAAGATGAGGACAGGCAACAAGCATATCATATACTGTGCGAGCGAATCTCAACAAATGAAAGTAGGAAATAAGATCACAAGCCACCGCAGAACGACCATAATACCCTCAAACGATACGAGATATGTGCAACATAAACAACTGCTTAAACAGAAACCTCACTTGGTCATTAACTATACATCGAAACAAGATGATTGATTCTGTAAAAATCATGCATAATCGTCCTAAAATTTCCAAGTACTCATTAACACAATATCGAACAGTAATATTCGATTTGAAAGCAGCTGTAACGGATCTATATCTTTATCAGCCGACGACGATCTCGATTCTGAGATGTCTGCTTAATCAGATCTCAACAATGACGATATAAAAACATCCATCTCAGCTAGCTTTCAATTCCAAGACCTCCAGCATAATCCACATCCTCACGCGTAGTACAGCAACACCAACAATCATTCTTAACAAACAAAACACCAGACTTCATCCCATTCGCCTCTCTCTACACAGCATCAAGTCCAGCCTCAAAAACTCGACTTCAACAGAGAAATACAAACTCATCACCTCGTGAAAGCTATCGACAAATTTCCCACCTAATCTATATGTTCACTAGAACCATTGAACATCCAACATCCCAACGTCCCAACTGCCATAACAAACCCCATAGCACATCCACATCTCCGCTTTATATTCCCACAGCCCCCCTCCAGGACAACAACAACCCCCAAAAACGCCCGTTTGGCTTAGCGGTAAAGCGCATCACTAGTACTTGTCTCTCTTCGATATTGCTATGATGAGATCCTAGGTTCGATTCCTAGAACGGGCATTCCACAATACCATCTGGTAATGATTATCTTTTTGCCGAACGAAACTATTTTGCTCGAATTCTTGTCAGCTCTTGAGACATTTATTTTCAGCGAGCAGGCAAGAAAGATGATGCGAGAAAGAAACAGAGGACTGGAATGAAGAGATGTTGGAAAACGAACTTTTAGGTAATTCGACAGTGAGTGTGTGGGTAATGGGTGGATAGGAAGTGGGTAGGCGATGGACAATTTAGGGCTGTGGGGTGGGGTGGATGGAAATGTAGTCTGAGTGGTGAGAATTTGGTGTGTGCAATCTATTTTGCAAGTGTGAATTTATTATGATTTGATCAGAATGAACGAATGGATGAATGGTATTGCAATTTGTAGATAGAATTGTTAATAAATATAAAGATTCATTATTATGGTGACACTGCAAGAAATAGAGAATGAATGCAATTGTAGTACTAAAAATCAATAAAGCATGAATGGATGTGATGTCTGATTGGTCCAACAATTACATTGATTGAATTCAGAGTTTTATCAGATGGACAGACAGTCGAATAGATAATAGTTGACTTTATTGCGACATCCTGTCTTTCAACTACTTGTGAATAGTAAAGGGACGCAGGCAAATTTGATTTCAAATGATGTTGTGCTGTGAGGATTTGTGGTGGGAGGTAGCAAAGCGTCGAGATTAGATTTAGCTTCGGTGGGGATATCAAATGTTTGTCTTTGAGGGCGAGTATGAGCGAATGAAGACTTATTCAGAAGATCTGAGTAAATCAAAGGACAAACAGGTAAAGCTTCGTAGAATTTCACAAGCTAGGTTCAATCTTCCAAGTGGGTGGAAACGGAGAGGTTTAAAGTTCATAGGGAATTGTTTTTGGGTATATATTTTACAGTTATCATTTCATGGCTTTTCTAGCCAATTATATATGTTGTTTACTGTGCAAAATGTTAGCACCACAGTCCATGAATATCTCAGCGAATAAAACTTACCTCGAAATCAGCAATCTTAAGAACCGCCTTTCCAAAGTTCTTTCCTCCAAGCATACCAACGAATCCCTCTGCCGCATTATCGATTCCCTCAGTAACACTCAAAGAGGCCTTGAAGCTTCCATCCGCCAACCACTTAGCAACATTCTCGTCTCTTGCCTTAACATGTAATGGGCCCATGTTAGCATCAGCCACGATGAAACCTCTCATTGTGATTCTCTTTGCAACAATATTCATCAAGTTCTTGATAGGGTATCTCTCGGCTTCCGGTTTGCTGTACTCGCTAATCATACCGCAAGCGACGATTCTACCGTGATCGTTCATGGCATTGATCGCAGCTTCTAATTGTTCTCCTCCGACGTTCTCGTAGTAGATATCGATACCGTTTGGTGCGAGACGCTTGAGAGCATCGGCTGGCTTCTCGGTCTTGTAGTTGAAACCGCCATCGAACTTCAGTTCGTTGGTGATGTAGTTTAATTTGTCGTCAGAACCAACGGACCCGATAACTGTGAGACCTTCGTGCTTGGCAAGTTGTCCAACAAGGGCTCCAACAGCTCCGGATGCGGAAGAAATGAAGATGATCTCGCCCTTAACAGGCTTGCCGATTTCGTAGAATGAGGAGTATGCGGTCAATCCGGGCACTGAGTGAAGAGAATGTTAGTATGTTCTGGGGGTGAAGAGCATCAAAATAACGTACTGCCCAATGCTCCAAGGAAATGCTTTACGTCCAAGTTGTATGGGTTCTCAATTTTGGTTGCGCCATCTGCGAGTTGTTTTGGGAGAGCAGAGTACTCTTCAGTCCAGATGAAACCGGTGAGGAGATCTCCCGGTTGGAATTTAGGGTTGTCTGACTTGATAACTTTGGCAACAGTGTTATTGTTGATAGGTTGTCCTAATGGGAAAGCTGGGGAGTAGGACTTGGCTTCTGCCGCTCTCATGCGTCCACGTTGGTAAGGATCGAAGGAGGCATAGAAGTTCTTGGTTGTGATACCTCCTGCGGGTGGTGCTTGGTCAAGATCGAATTCACGAGTCTCAATGACCAAATCCTTTCCTGCAACAGGAACTCCCTGAGGAACTTGCTTGAAGATAAGACCTTTGTTTTGAACCATTTTCGCAGTTGAGATTGATGTAGATATAGATATATATTATTGTAGTATGAGATTGTCAAAGAAAAAGCAATTGAGTTTAGCCAGAAGGGATGAGGGGAAATAGACAGATAGATATACATGAATAGTCTTTGTGACTGAATTTTCCTCAGGTATGACGTTCCTGCTAGTGAACGTCTTCATCCAAGCTCAAAGCATGCAAGTTTTGTAGAACATTCTAAAGACTACCTACCTTTCAGGGTCACTATCAGATACTTCATCTCATTCGTTGCTCTTCAAGGACATCTTCTCTCCATTGAAACGAAGTCTCCGTTTTTGATTGCGTGAACAAGACATGACTTGAGGTTGGTGTGAATTGGTAAGCTTTTGTTGAAGAATGTGGATACGAGATTCTGTTTTTGCCCATCGTTTTCTATGGCCGAGGTTGTCGGATCAATATCACTATTTAGAAAAACACCCCGCCAAAGCCGCCACCTTGACAACGAAAGAAAGAAAATGTTCCACACATTATCATAAAATAGCTACTTGAGGATAAACATCCGCTTCTACTTACGACGTAGTAGTTAAGGTTGACTCGGCTGATTCAGAATTATATCCTATCGTAACCTTATGTGTAGATCCATGCTTTGTAGCTTGCGACAAGTATTAGGTAACCGATCTTGCTGAGAAAATGTCTGGTACCTGGGTGGTTTTACCCCTTCATCAGTGAGTTCGCTATTTACCCCTTGGAATCCCAATGCTAACCTCCGAGGCATAGAGACCCCGAAGTTCAAGATACATACAAGATCGAAAACATCTCCAAGCTTCAAACAGATATCCAGGTAATAGGTCCATTTCAATGTATCGGCACATAAAATGCCCCGCTTCGGAGAGTTCTGCAGACTGCTATGCGGCAAATCTTCGTTTTTCTACACGCGAGTCAGATCCAATTGTTCAGCCACCATTATCCGAGTTTTTCACTCTTTTTTCCCGCCGGATTCGGTGGAAAGGCTTTTATGCAAAATGTTATGCTCATCCCCACTGGCATGGAAGAATTGTTCATGTCGTCCCTCTAGAAGAGAATAAAATTGAGTTGATTCCGTTTGCATTTATGCATCTGTTTTTGTGATGGACACGTGACTTTCATCTAGATTATCATCATCGAACGGTTGTCTATTTAGATCCATTGGTAGTTTTCATCATATACATTTAACTCTTTGGAATACTTTCTTGTAGTCAAGAATCAGAAGAGAATATCTAATATTCGAGTTAAAGCGAGAATTCCTGTATCGTCGACTTAAGATACTACCTAAGTAGTTTGCAATTATCATCTTCCAGATACTCACACAGTAGGAGAGGAGGGATGAGATGTATTGGAACTTTTGTTTGAATATGATGTCTTTCCTATTGATCGTTCGAAGCTTTAGAGAATATGGGTTTATGTTGGTGGATATATTAGTCTCTTTGTTTATATCGAATGGTTCAGGTGCAGGAGAGATGTTTTATTGTCCCGCGGGTAGTTTCCTCTCATTATTATCTCCAATTGAGTAGTGGAATGCCTGAATAGAAAGATGTATAATCAAAGGTATACCCTTTCGCTATCCATATCCATATCTATTGAACTTCTAACGGTTCTAAACTCTGAAATTCTGCTTCAAAAATCTAAAACTCCTCGTCCATACATCCCTCCAGACCCAAAGAGAACTGGTAGAAAGACAACCGGCGGAAGCTCCCAAAAGAAATGAAGTAAAGAATGCTCATAAAAAGGTACCTAGCATCAAGTAAACAACAACTCTCTACAGAATCAGGAAATATCAAGATCGTCCCTCCCCTTCTCAACCAATCATCATGTTCATCCAAAAGACAACACAAGCCGTAATCTCGAGTCCCAATTAATGATGTAATTCATCAATATACCCAACCCAAAGTATGCGCTTTCTCCTGTCATAAATCACAAATCTTGTTCCGAGATATACATTTGCATTTTTGAGATATTCACCGAGAGTCGAAATACATTCAGATGATGGGGCGATCAAATCCGATTCTTTTCATGAAGAGATATCATTCTCTGGTGTTCATCTGTTGATATATCATATAAATACACACATCTCCAACCACCAAGTACTCCATAGAAAAAATTCTCTTCAAATGTATATGATAAGTTCTTTTCGCTTTTCGATATTAATGTACCATGTCAAGATTACTAGATATTCTCTGCCCCATCTCACATGAAATTCCTTTCTCATGTCCATTCCCGTCCTTTTCCGTCCGTTTCTCATAAGCCATATATGCATCGCAATATGTATAATCCCATTCCAATGCCCAATTCCATAGATTTCCTTTCCGATTCCAGTTCCATTTCCGTGTCCCAAATTATAACTCCAAGGCCGTTAAACATTCAGCCATTAAATTCACTTCCATATTGGTCTTCTCTCCTTCTCTTAGATCCTCTGACGATTACATATAATTTCTTCCCTCATCCTCTCCAAAAAGACTCTGCACATGATACGTTTCCCAGTTCAAAAAATCCCCTAAATCATGTCCCAAGTTGTATCCCATGGGGATATATTCATCCTTAATTTTAACTAAGTTGATCGGCGAAGGTGGTAGCGAATCATTATCATCATCATCGATTTTCGGCTCCGGAACATTCACTTTGAGCGCCACATCTCTTCTAGCTCCAAAAGTAGGTCCAGACACGGCCTCCACTACTTGTGGCGCACTATCCTGAATCGTTTCTACCCATAGCCCACCTTGATATTCTGGGGTTCTAGGTCTGCCCCTACTGCTTTCACTGGGAATACCAAAGCCCAGTCCAAGTCCGATAGTCGTCGCGCGATTATCCCTTCCATTTTTGTTCTTTCGAGAACTTTTTTCCGCGTCGGTAGCTGCGAGAGATTTTCCTCTCTTGCGTCGAGAAACAGGTGCTTCTTTGACTAAACGTCCGATTCCAGGATATCCGAATCCGCTCCACCAATCGAAAATACTATCAACTTCCGCTTCATCTGCTTCCCAGATGCTTTCTTGGCTAGCGCCTAATGTACCATCATCCATTGTGCCTGAAATTGCCATCTGAAATGCGGTCCAATCGAGTGCTTCTTCAAACTCGGGCCCGGAGAGAGAATCGCGATTAGAGCGATGATAGACATACTCGAGACGGATGGGGCCATGGCGGAAGAGAGGAGATGTGAGGGTATATGGTGTGGAAGGTAATTGAATGTAGTCTACGGAGGATGTACTCGAGTCTTGGGAATATTCCGAATCTTGCGAGAAGCTTCGTTTAGGGGTTCGTGGGGCTAAGATGTTGAGGGGAGAGATTTCGGGAATGGTGGGTAGGAGACTTGTCATTCCTGTGTTGGAACGACTTCGTGGGAGTCTGGGTGGAGAATGTGGAGAATCGCGGGGTGGAGAGGGGAAGTTGAGATCTTCGAATGCTTGTTCAATAGCATCGATTTCGGCATAATCGGGATTCGGGATGTCGGATAATGCTTTTCGACCTCTTTGATGGTCATTTTCCAAAGATTCGGATATATCTGTTGAGGTAAATGGTGGTGGTGAAGAAGAACCAACGATTTGTGTTGAATTCGATGTTTTGTCCTTGTCATTGTTGATGCGAGGTAATAAATGTTCCAAATGAAATGGTTCTGTTGGTGATACATTATTTGGGCTATCCGACGATATAATGTTTGTATCAAGCTTCTTATCCGCATCCATTTTCCGTGAATGTCCCACCGAAGCAATTCCATCCGCATCTTTGGCTGTGTCGGTATTGCGAGCGGCTTCATTTTGAGCATTTTCCAATGAAGCTTTTCGTTCATTGTCTAATTTTGCCTTTTCTGCCTTTTCCTCTAGTTGTTGTAATCTATCCGGAGTCAACATTTCATCGGCTTCCAGTCTGGTGAATTTTCCTTTGAAAACATCAGCCATACTGGCCGTAACATCTCCTAAGTTCCATCTTGCACTTGAATGTGGATGTGGTAGACTCTTTCTCGAGGCTTTGTCCGAAGTAGTGTTTTTCTTTTGTTTGGGAGAAATTGACTTCTTTGCCTTTGAATTAAATGAAGATTTTGGTACAGGAGATTTTCCCGAAAGACTGGTTGAAGATGGACGTTCTTTCAAAAAGTTGGAATTCTGCATTTGATTGCGCTTCGAGATTGAATTGGTCCGTGCGAGAGGTTTACTCGAGGAGGTTGATCGGTTTTGGCGGGTAACGATGGTGTTGTTGATATTCTTGACATTCATATTGTTCAAATCATTAACACTCATACCACTTATTCTGGCTGCTTTGCTATTTTCGAATTGCTGAAATCCTCGAGTGGCAGCTCTTGCATCACCTAAAGCAAATCCCACTGCTTGAAATGCTTCATCCGTTTCGCGAATTAATTGTTCGACGTTATCGGTAAATTCGACCATCTTTGGTACATTCGAACATGAAGCAGATGTTGATATCAGTTTATTATTATGACTGAGCTGTTGCTGTTGATCTTGTCGTTGACGAGAGATATTTTGATGAGAATGAAAATGAAAGAAAGATTTTTCCTTTGATCTGAGAATAAATCTATCGTAAGACTTGGTTGATCGTATTAATTTGTTGGTGGTAGTAGGAGTTTTAGGAATGCTAGGGATACGAGCAACGGTAGGAGTTGGATTTCCTCTGTCATGAATAAGATGATTTAACAACGATGAAGTATTTGGATTATGGAAGAGATTAATATTTGATCCTTCCACTTTTCCTTCCACTTCCATAAGCTTATCTGACGAGGTAGCTTGCGCCTCTCTCTTATAAGAATGTAACCTCAAGTTACCTTGTGCCTGCTGCGGAATTTCTTTCTCTGAAAATACCATGCCAGTATTGCTGCAAGTCTGCGCTTGTGTTGCTAATGGTGCATCACCTGAGTCCAATTTTGGGGGCGCCAGGGTTTGGGGGAAATAATGATAGCGGGGCTGACGATTATGATGCTGATTACTATCATTTATCGGGCTTGGTTGTAAGGTACGAGTCGCACTTCTTAATGAAACACAACTTTGGGACTTGGATATAGTTGGGGACAAAGAACCAATATCATCGTCAATTGGTGTCGATTCTACCTTTGTTAGGTTCGGTGTACTCTTATTCCCTTGGCCACCCACACTTTCATCCACACCTTTATCCATACTTCCGCTCGCCGAGTGATCGTTGAAATCCCAATCGAAGTGTAAAGGACTTAATGGTGACTGTGCCGTTTGACTGGAATCAATCCGGATCTCAGGAGTTTTTCGTACCATGATAGCTGTATTCCTTCGAACCGCAAGTTTGTCGGATTTTGGATTTTCTGATATCCAGAAAAGACTTTCTGGTTGCCTATTGCTGATATTACGATCGTATTCGAAAAACCCATCAGCACTGTTACTCTCTCGATGAAAGCTCATCTGCTTAGGACACGACCCTGACTTCTGAAATGGCATAGTCGCAGAGTATTCAATGGAAAGTGTGACAGAAACAAAGTTCAAGTGTGAGTCCGCCGTGTATATCGATTGAACGAATTTGGGTGGATTTCCGGTTTCGAGATGATGCACAATACAACTTGATACACGGCACAATCATCCGTACGACATTGGCACAATACTCTAACAATGGATACAGTCGGATACCTAAGGTCCGGATATATCTACAAACATCTAATGGGAATGGGTTTCGCATCCACTTGTAGCATTGGGGCTCATCTTTAGAGTTAAAGATCTAGCTCAAAGAATATATTAAAGATAGCCTGCTAGTGCACCGCTTGACGATATATCACAAAACTCGCGTGGTTAACAGATCAACAACATGCATGCCGGATAGCACATCCACACCGACCTCGTGGTACTGGATTCCAAAGGCCAGATTCCTTTGAGTGACAAGCGCCGCCCATGACAAACGCAAAATACCAACAGCTTTCATAACAAATAATAAGTGATAGGCTATACTTCCGATTCGTGCAACAGAAGGAAGAGTGGAGTTGACTTCCTTGGGGCAAATCTCAAAGAGACATCCACTTACTGAAGTTGATTGCGGGGGATCTGGAATTATACAGTAGCGGCAAGGGTTGTCCCCGAGAACTCCAAAAACTCCCATGACGACGGACAAGCGCAGAAACATGTTTGTGACCGAGGCACTGCGCTAAAATTAGATGCTAGTGACGTGATTGTGTACAATGTTTGAAGATGCTTATCTGGCAAGGATGACATTGACTAGTAGTTTGCATAAAGAATGGGATGGTCCATGGTCTGAAGGAGGTAAAGAATCTGTACACAAGTGCAAGAAGCCGCGTGAAGTTGTGTTCGAGAGGGGTTTGTTCGTTCCGGCATTCGGGGATTCGGAGACTTCCACCAAATCTTCATCACCGGAGTTGATATTGATATAGTACCGGCAAGAAGAACGGAATTGATCAAGAGACATTAGGTAGTAAAGAAACAAATTTCGATATCCAAGGTTTCCAAATGAGATGTGCAAACGGTATCAGTATGTAGTGGAGAAAAACGTGGTAGTGCTATGCGCGGTGTGCACTGGTAACTTAGCGGCAGTTGAAATAAATTAAGAGTGGATAATCCCATGTGTGACGAGTTCGCTCTACCCATTTCAGTCCTCACTTATTCTAATTGCAGTCCCTTTTGCATTGGTATGCTCTTTTCGGACTTATACGACCGGGAGAGAAAGGGAAGAGTTTGCTGGATTGTATCTTTCTACTCTATCGTCATGTTCCTTTTTGAGGGAAACAGAGCGACGACGACGACGGCGATGACAACCTATCTCGGCGTTCTTCATATTGACTGAGTAAATAGTACTACTCGTATCCAATGAAATTTGATATCAAAAATGGATTGACATTGCCTATTGCCTAGGTGATTGTTACGCGAATAGGCTAGAGTAAGATACAAACATGCATGTGGTGCACGTGATAGTGGCGCTTTTCCCCCCAAAGTCCCCGTTCCGGGCGGCTGCGAGTACCCCACCTAAGCCATTTAGCAAGAGGCAAGCAACAGAATAGCAACACTAACAAACTGTTGCAAATTACAACCACAACCGCACCCACACCACACCCACCACACCCACCACACTCACCACAATCACAGCCCAGGCTCTTTGATATTCTCCAGGAAGACAATGGATACGAACAGGACTGATTTCTTTTTCTAGGCTCCTACTTTTCGGTGATCACATCACCAAGCTCACAAAGTTCCACTTTGTGACCCTAGATCTGTTAGATGAATTAACATGTCAACAAGGTTGCAATTCAGCATGCTGCAACTCAAAAGTTCAGGGAATGCGAAGAAACAATTGGTAGGACCAAAGCTAAGGCAGCACAGTGAATCGACGATGTAAATCTATAAACATCACAGACAAGAAGGTCAGACCAGAGGACAAACTATAAAACATACAACTCCGTCGTATACAGCCAAGTCAGTAGGTATATGCCGAGTTCATACATCATGTACCTGATATCAACGTACCTGCTGGTCCTGCAGCTTTCATATTTAGCTAAGATATACAGTTGTGGTTGGCTGACGAGTCTGGCTTATGCATTGCCGTCCGTACCATGTACCATTTCAGCAACTATCGAGTCTGCGCCACATCATCGCTTCTTTTTTCGATTACTTAATCTAGATAAGTCAACCCGCTGAAGTATATTTAGATTATTCTTTCTTTCTTCACACACGGCAATCCCCAGCCCATTGGTAAGTTGCCTACCATACCTACACAGGACACAGGATGCGCAGGAAATGTACGAATTCTAATCGACGTTTTCCTTTGTCCTGCGCAATGTGCATTCGGATTTTTTACTTGGAGATCAAATCCTTCTCAGGCCGTGGTAACGATCAAGTTATCAACCCCCGTTGACACATTCCCCTTGATGTTACCTTGATGTTACCTTGATGAGCTAAGCCTCAAGATTGGGAAGGTAGTATTCAACACAATCGGTTCAAGTAGAACTTAGAAAAATTAAAGAATTCAGTGAAATTTCGGGCTAAGAAAAAATCAAGCAGCTGAAATAAAATGGAATAACTTTGTATGCAGGATTACCCCGCGAGTGTATGTGTGATGGATTTGCTGACCCGGCGTTCTCCATCTCATCAACAACTCCGGAAGAATCAAAGTACTGATTTTCCCAAGGACTTATAGTCTGCCTTTATCCAGAGGCACGGAATAGCACCATAGTATATTTGAGCAATGTCATGCCAAAAAAGATGCTTGCCAAGAGACTACACAATCCAATTGCTCATTTTAAAGGGTTAACACAATCATTAAACAGGCCAGTAGCACTATAAAGTTTCGTCAACCATTCGTCATTATCACGACCCAATTGAATTATCAATCCTTCTACAAAAAAATCCATTACACAGCATCTCTTACGCTTGCACAACTTTGATGATCCCATTCATATCAAAACGGCACAGTCGCACTTATCCCTCCGCCTTGCGATAATCCTGCAAGGCTATTTTGACTATGGTCTCTCGGATTTCGAATCCATTACCTTACGGTACATCGCCCGTAGATCATCCACGTGTGTCTCAAACAAATAAGCACGAGCTCCAAGAACTTATCCAATCCAACCCATATCTACAACAGTTTCTGCTCACAAAATGCCGACATAAGCGTTTATCAACCTTCTATGAGAATCCAGGCCTTAGCAATAATGAACCTTCTAGCTTCAATTTGGAGGATTCAAAAGCATGGCATCTTGGATCCTCTCTCAATCTTGGGGTTCCAGCGCTAGGGACTTTAAAGGTACTATCTCCTCGGAGCAAAAGCGAAATACCACATTGTTTCCCCCCTCAATCGGTGTGTCTGTGTATTTGAATCATAGGATTTCTTGATAACGGCAATCCAACGACATGAAACGCTTATATCTGCTTCCTCTCTGCACAGCCGTAAAATGTGGGAGAGTTCAATGCCGGGATCAAAAATCTCACGCACACCTGTTTTTGTACCTCCACGTTGTCATTCCTAGACATACTGTTTTGTTTTAGTCTTGGCTGGCTACACTTTTTATGTTATCCCTTGTTCCAAGTGGCTTCGCAGAGATGTTAACTACTATTAATACTACGGAAATATCGTCGTTTGATATGAAAAACGGGAGGTCTTTATATTCTCCTCGCTATCATGTGGTAGGATTGTAGCCTAGTCGGCCAGAGTTCGGCAGTGCTCATTCAAGACAATCTTTTATACATTCAAATCATCGTTTTCAGCCAACATGCCAGCATTACATTTGGTAGTATAGTTGGAAGTTATATCACAAGGATATATTAACATGAAAGACCACATTACAGTTGGGCGAAATAACCCGCGCCTCCATCTTCTTATCAGTCATTCTTGATTTTCGAATTAGCTAATAACAATTGAACGGCCGACTTAGAAACATATCATATTAGTTTGAATCTTCATTTTTGACTGTAGACTTACCGAGCGTCTCGAGTACGAAGTTTACACCCGGGCTAGCGGTTCCGATCCCAACTTGTTGGTGATGAAAATCCATCGCCCCACATCACGGTCAAGGCTGAACTAGTTCTATTTCTACAAATCAAACAGAGTCCAACCACGCCACCATAGTTGGTGCTACTTTTTCCTTGATAACATTGTCTCGCATTTCCACGTGAAATCTCAGGCTTACTCCAGATCATTCATGAATCAATCACGCTATCTCACACAAATACCAGTGGAGGAATGAATTCGTCCGGCGGCACTATTATTACACATAAAAAGCACTTGGGCGGTCCCTCAATCCAAAAACATGAAATGATTTGTCTTGAAATAAATTAAGATGATTACTACAACTTCATTGGGTGAGGTAAGATGAATGAAGAAACGGTAAGATTATGATCGGGTCTTGATATGCTCATGTGATATCTTACTTGAAATATCGCTGTGAGATTCTATAATAAGTATACTAAATCACTTATTAACATCTTACTAATTAAGAGATATGTTGATGACTAATATATGTATAATATCATTTTATATTATAAAATTATACTATTAAATTATTATATCATTATATCTCTTATTAAATTAAATTATAATAAAATAGAATAAAATGAAATCATATGAAAGATTATTAATAAAACGAATTAAATTGATTGTTTATACTTTATTTTTATGATATAAATGATTCTATAGGATTCGATTCAAATCGATCTTATCTATAAGTATAAAAATTACTAGAATTTTATTATAAATTATATAAATCTAGAATATTCTTTAAAGAAAATCTAGAAAAAGCAAGCAAATTTAATTCAATCAAGCTTTTTCTTATAATTTAACTTTAATTCAACTCTTATACTGAGTCGGATATTCTACTTTCGGGCCACTCTCCTTTTAAGCTACTTTTCACATTAAAAATAGAATTTTTAACTTTCTTTTTTATAGATAGAATTTATTGAAAATTTATATATAGATAATTTGAATCATTTTTAGCTTATTTTGAAAATTTCAAATTTTTAGGATTTTTTTATATTGAGATTTAAAGCTTTAAAATATTGATTTTTAAATTTATATAAGAATTATATATAAATTTAACACTTTTATAAAATCTTTAATAACTTTTTAATAAAAATTACTAAAAATAAATTATAAAGTTTTAGTATAACTTTATAGTATACTTATTTTAAAAGATTAAAAAAAATGGAAAGCTTTTTATAAATAAATATTTAAAAGAATATCCTTAAAATTGTAGGGATTATTTATACTACTTTAAACTCATTATATATTATATCTTTATATCTGTTCATTTTTTTAACTTTTTTTTTCAATTTTTTTATATAGATTTAAATTCAAAACTTTCAAAAAGATATATAATTTTCTTTTGATAATTGTTGTTAAAAAGTTGTTAAAGATTTTATAAAAGTTTTAAATTTATATGTAATTCCTATATAAATTAAAAAATCGATGTTTTGAAGCTTTCCATCTCAATGCAAAAAAATCCTAAAAATCTAAAAATTTCAGAATAGATTCAAAACGATCTGAACTATATATATACAAATTTTCAATAAATTCTATTCATAAATAAAAAAGTTAAAATTTCATTTTTTGAGATTTTTAATAATAAAGAGTGGCCTAAAACAGAAGTGACTCAAAAGTAGAGTATCCGACTTATATATCTGATTTATACCTAAAGCTAAAGTAACTAAGTCTTCCACTAATACTAGAATACTAATATTATTATTATTATTATTATTCTAGAGCTAATCTTTAATAATCGCAAGTACAAATTTAATTTTGAAGATCTACTTATTAGTTGTCTGTACCTGTATGCCGCATGTACTAAGTATTTTGAGGGCGTAAGTGCGTTTTCGCTGATTATTCATCGCGTAGGTTGATGGTCTATATGAAGGTATCTAGGGGCCAGATTATGATCTAGTGTCATTCGTTTCAGAAAGTTCTGAGCTGTTTCATCTGGAACCGATATACAAGATTGTTATAACTACGAGGTTTGTGTGGTGCGCTGCCCCAAAGTATGTTGTCTTTAATTAGT